TGCATAATGTGTCTTGAAAGAATTCAAGTTAATCTGCCGGCAAATGATGAGCCATTCAGAATTTTCACTGCTCTTATTTGCTCAAAGGACGATCCGGTCAACGAGTCAAATTATTCTTTCGCGATTTCGATATCTTCTTTGGTGGTGAACAGTAAGTTTTCTTAATTTCCTGGATTGAATATTTCGTTCTATCTTTCTTGCAATAATCATTTACAGCTGCCCATATGATTCGGTTACTATTTTCGACGGCTCTTCAACTAGTTCACCAATTATCAAGAAAGTACGTTTTATTTTAATAGAAAAAAATCTGTTGGAATGAAAAATGTGAAAATGGCTTTGATGAAATGGGCAATCATAACAATCGGCCATTAGGTTCGATTCGGTCGTTGTGCACTTTGTAGACGGCTGATGCGCGCGTTTGCAGGGCGGTTCGCCTACTTACATAGCTGGCACATGAGAGAACTCGTGGTGACCACTTTACCCTGCTGATTGGTCAGCAGCCCACCCTCGTTGCGAACGCGCGCGTCGAATCCTGGCGGACCTTCCGCTTGAAATGAGTTTACTGCTGAAAGGTTCATGAAAAGTGACTTCACAGAGTTCTAGTTTTACAGGAGAAGTGATTGTTCAGGTGTGTGGTCTGCAACAACGTATGGAATTATTTTCGGTTGGCACGGATCTTCTTATTCACTTCAACACTACCAATCCAGCTAAGGCCGACCCACGAGGGTACGTTCAATCCGCTGAACTTTTCAAGAAGCTGATAGGCGATACGATCCGCGATGAACAGCGGACAACAAGCCAGTGGTGGAGCCACTGTTGACTAAACACAAAACACCTCAGTGGCTGGCTGCTTGTAGTTCGCTGTGGATAGGGCTTGCCTTGCGTTGAGGTTCCTCGGCGAAGAGGTCGTTTTTGGTCGCGGGGGGACAGGGGTCGTATTGCCTTTGTGAAAAACGTTTTCGTGTTCACCTCTCAGGTTATTCCGTTTCACTTGCGCTATAATTCCCCCTCAACCGGTCGCATTTCGTCCGCTCTACTGCAGCTTCTGGGGAGAATGTGAAGGAACTTTTGGGCAAAAAAAGCTACGGAAAAGCGGTAGGATAAACGAGTA